AAAAAAAAAAAAAAAAGAGGAAACTACACGGGAGTAAAAAAAAAAGAGTTGTAATTGCACTATGAGCCGAGATACAGTTTGGAATTGCAGTTTGGGAAATGTATACAACCCAACTTTCTGGCCAGGTAGGGTTGCCGAAGTGCAATTGCAAACTGTATCTTGCCCCATGGTGCAATTATAACTCGTTTTTGTGACTCTACTGAAGTTACCCCAAAAGAAAAAGGTGAGTGTGGGCATACGCAGAACTTGAGGCTAACTTCACTTTTCACCTGACACTAGGGGTCTCGCCACACGGCACACGAGACGAGAACGAAATGAATGCATCTGGCCACGAAAGGTGGCAAAATACACTCTTTACTATTTATAGCAAACGGATGAACCTGTCCATTTTTTGTGGGAAGATGCACTCGTTTCGGTTTTCGTTTCCTGTGCCGTGCGGCGACTCCCTAGGATCGGGATGGAAAAGGGAGCCTACTACTGGACGGTACTCTGACCACCTTCACTTCCACTAATAGGCTTCTTGCAGATGATTGAGGGGAGGGGAGGGGGGGAGGGGGGGGGAAGGAAAAAAAGGATCAAGATGGATCAAGGTCAATCCAACGTTTGAAACCATCCCTACAGAGAGATTGAGAGAAAAGAATATAGAATAGTTTTTTTTTTGTTTGTTTGTTTGTTTTTAAGAACCATCCCTGCAGGTCAGGGACTGTAGTGGGATCTTCGCGACGAATGAATATTCACAACTCGATATCACCCACTGCAGTGTGACACTGACATTACTTATATCAGCCCCTACGGTCTACTCACGTCGTTTGTGACGGTGATGGCATGTTCATGGCTCTCATCAAAGAAATACCTGATGCGGCGATGCTCCTAAAGTATAGACTCTACAGCAATAAGATGTCCGAGAGAGAGAGAGAGAGAGAGAGAGAGAGAGAGAGAGAGAGAGAGAGAGAGAGAGAGTTGCCTCACTCTGTTTAAGATGTTCGAGAGAGAGAGAGAGAGGAGACAGAGTCAGAGAAAGAGAGAGAGAGAGAGAGGAGACAGAGACAGAGACAGAGAAAGAGAGAGAGAGAGAGGAGAGAGAGAGA